AGATTACTCGGCAAGCCACGAACCGACATATCAAGCATTGCTGCGTCGTTGTGCAGACACAGTGAAGTCACATCTTAATCTGTAAAGTATGTTTAGAATAGCTAATAAAATGACTTCTCTCTCTTTCTCTCTCCCCTCCTCTCTCTCTCTCTCTCTCTCTCCCTCTCCCTCTCCCCCCTCTCTCTCTCTCTATTTTCTCTCTCTTCCTCTCTCGCTTACCCTCTCTCTCTCTCTCTTCCTCTCTCTCTCTCTCTCTCTCTCTCTCTCTCTCTCTCTCTCTCTCTCTCTCTCTCTCTATCACTCTCTCTTACACACAAAAAAGCCTTACACCAACCCACCTGGTTACTGAAAGATGGCGTCCCTGAAGCTGACCATAAGCAGGAATGCTGTAAATAATGCGGAAAATCAATTTCTTTCTGTCAAAAGAAAGAATGGAAACACGCCTATATGAATTAGGATAAAAATTGAAGAAGTCAGTTATCGTTTATGTTATGATATAACGTAAGAACAAATACAGAGATGATTCCAGACAAAAAAGTTAAACTGACCAGAAGAAGTGTTGATGTGCGCGTGGTATGCCGCGCACCTACGGTGGTAGCAGTGCTCTATAAAATTCACTTGAAAAGAATGATTTCCTTAGTAAACATATCTTCTCTTTGTTCGATTTTTGTGTAGAAAATGACAAATTTCCAGGCCGTCACCCAGACTTACTTGGCATGAGCTACAAATTCTATGAGAACGAATTTCTGGCACCTAAGTGGATCGCCATTATGTCGATCGAGTTGAGCGACCATATTGTAGCGGCGAAGACGTTGAGTTATAGAGAAGGTGACTTGGCTGCAACAGTAACCGGAAAGTTAGTCGAAAGAAAAGAAAGGAAGAAAAAGAATGGTCTGTTCGCAGGAAAACGGTGATTACTTCAAATCAACCAGCGATTGCAACCAGTCAGATGGCCAGAGACGGAGAGTCCCCTCCAGATCTCCGCCTTTCCCTTTGGCTAGTTGATATCATGCGGTTTAATTGTTCTCTCCCTCATTAGCGTCGTCATTACCAATTCCGTGGCTTCTTAACCTTCACCCTTGCACTAATTCTACCGTAGAAAACTCACTCGTTGTCAACGTTGCTCCCGGTTTCCGCACAACCATTGGCCTGACATACCGGAGGGTGAGCTGTGTGTGTGTGTGGGTGTGTGGGTGGGTGGGGGGTTAGCACATGCATGCGTGCGTGTGTGTCCGCATGCGTGTATGCACGCGCGTGTTGATTTATTTGTCTGTGCGTGTGTCTGTGAGTGTGTATGTGTGTGTTTGTGTTGTGTTGTGTGGTTGTGTTGGGTATTCGTTTACAAACGACGGAACCGTAAAATAACGCATAAAATGAAGCTATGTAACCACGAATTAAGAGTGCGAGTAAAATCACATCACTGTATTCTCATTGTTCATATTTACGTACTGAAATTGCTCCTATAGCTAGTACCGTATATTATAATATAAGACATATAGTTATCATGTGCATATATGACGCGGCAGGTGTACATGAAAGGGACGCCTACGGCCCCGAAATGCGAGAGTCCGCGAGAGCAGTCCCTGAAACGCTACCTTAACGCCACTAGTTCGTACAACAAAGCCGGATGCATGCACACTGCACATCTAACCCGAGCCGAGAAAAAGTGCAAGTGTGTGATGAAGGCTAGTGAAACTCTCTTTGGTAAGCACTGCAGGTTAAACTCCTAAAGTATATTCTTCATTGACTAAGCGGCTGTAACGTCCAGGGAGAGAGACGTGCTTAACGTTGTTACAGGTGATACTACTGATTGCAGTAGAATAGAGATTACAATCTACCAGAGGGAAAGGAAGAGCTGTTGGCTGAACTGCTTGCATGCATATTCATGCTGCATTGCATGATTTTCTGCTTGCAAGAATATTCATGAATATTCAGAGCGCAGCGATGCAATGAATGCACTATTAAAGATTAAACAAACAATTGGCCTATTCGTTTGGCTTGACTGACAGGCAGTTCTAGCAAATCAGTATTGCGATAGAACGTTCTATTCTTAACAAAGTGCAGCAAAATTGACAATATTGTGTGCATGCGTAAATGTGGCATCTACAAATTGGGCTAGCTTAACCCACCTGGCAACAATATATCCAAGGGTGGCTAGCTCAGACGGATAGGTCAATTATTAAACACTTTATTTATCCTTAATTATAAATTGGTAATATTGCAATTCATATACTATAATATATAGATGATAAATGCTTTGGTATTGAATTTTTTTTACGAAATGTTATAGGGAATAATTGGCTTCTCATAGCTATCCGTGGTTTGACAACACCGCCATTTTCCCTTCATATATAAATGCGACTATGGCTTATAAACGTTCCATTTTGGATTTATTTACAGACGACCGTGAAGAATGTAGCATTCTCACGTATTTCACGTGTTTTTTGCCATATTTACGTAAGTTACTATAATTACGTTCTTGAAATACTGTTAATAGTAATAACTGATATGATAACGTGTAGACTTGTGGTGATACGCGCAAGCTATTCACGACTATTGATCGAGATCGTATACAAATATATATCGCAAACTGCGAGAGCATCGATTGGAATTCGAGCGATGAGGATCGGGTATTAATTTCTTGCCACTGTAGCAGCGAGGAAAAACAGTCACATGTTATATACATGGTTAATTACATAGATCGCTAAGTTATTACGGCGTGTTGTAAAATGGGGCGTAGCCTGAGCAAGTTCTTATGTGCCGAGGAGGGGGGATTTTGTGACTCAGCTAGAGTAATGAACAAGGAATAGACGCAGCTCCCCGTCAATGTGCGCTCTGAGGTGACAGTGGATGCGAGCGCTTCATGGATTGCCACATGGCTACACAGGCTATAATGGCTACACTGGCTTTATGATTATAGGCCACACCCACGATAGGCTACACAGTCATGTATATACAGATATATATTGCGAAGCTTAGCCCGTTGAAACCCTACAGTCGCGATCGATGCGCGTTCATGACTGGCTTTTTTGGCTCGCAGAGGAATTTAAGCTGAGTCACGATACGATAGATCCAGGGTGCCCGGATGACTGCATCGTCGACACGTACGAGTACCAGATGTCATCGCACGTAGCGCCCTCTGTGCGCTGGTCGAAAGTCCTAAATAGGTCATTGGCTGAATCAAGGTTAGAAGTTATTTTCTCGCGTTGAACCTATATGATTGCTTAAATATTCGATTTGACGTGTATACTATGCATTTCTTGCCCACCTCCCCATCGCTATGCTAACTTGCTCTATTTTTATTTTTTCCTTTCTTCCATCACTTCCCTCTCCAACCTCCCACCCTCTTCACTCTCCTTGCCTCCCTGCCTGTCTTCTTCCCCTCCCCTTTCCTCTCTCCCCAACGCTATACACTTTCATTTTCTATACATCTCTCCCCA